TTTTGAGTCGCACCTCAGTTATGCCCTTACATTCTGGGGTACGTGTTTTGCGATTCAATTTGACCGCATTTTCAAGCTCCAGAAGAGAGCTGTTCGATATTCACTGGGACTAAACAGCAGAGCTCATTGCCAGGATTTTTTAAAAAAATTAAAAATATTAACTTAGCTTCTCAAGAAAGGCCATCTCACACTTATCCCCTCAGGAAGGCGAAGCTAGATTTTTATCTACCTACCCCACGCTCAGAGTTAGTTAAAAGTTCAATATTATACAACTCGAAAAAAATCACATCACCTGCCATTTGAAATCAAATCCATAACATAATTTTCTTCATTTCGCAAAGCATTGAAATCTTATTTACTAGACGAGACTTTCTACGCCGTAAATGACTTATATTTTGATAATCGAATTTGATCTTGTAAACATTGGTTTGGTATTACTATATTTACCAATGATATCGAAAATTTATCTAGAGGTCTTTGATATTTATTATAAACTAACTAAATATTTTTGAATATTATTTTTATTTTTTTATTCTTTGACGTTGTGAACATTTATAAATGTTTATTTTAAACAATAAGACTGACAATGTTATTTTATAATGTTTTGTATTCTCTTTTGTTTGTTTGTTTGTTTACTTTACCTTTGTCTACAAATTGTAAATTTTTTTGACAATAAAGTCATTTATTTATTTTAGTTTGACGTTTCATAACTTTTTAATCTGTAATCCGATTTTTATGATTATGGTATTAGTTTGTTGATTAATTTTTTGGCATTATTTTTTATTATTTTAATGGCTTATAATATTTCGGTTAGGTGGGTTTATAGCGGGGTAAATCAAAACTTCGCTTTTATTAAAGCGAAGCTATAAAATTCTTTAAGCTATAAATCAAGAAAAAATAACTATCCTTATTCATTCGATACGAGGAAGACGTCGAGATGTTATTGCTGCGAGAGGTGGACATACACGCTATTAAATTTATTGTATTTGTCAATAAAAGGATCCCTAAAATCAATATTTGACTTGAAAATTTGTACCTTATAAAATAATACAGATAATGGGATAATTCAAAAAATGAAATGTTAGGAATACATCTAAAATTACAGGAAAGTGTTTTTTTTTATCCAAAATACCCGTCTCATTTTTCCACAGGATGTTTTAAATTTATTGCAAAAAACGTTTTGATTTACCACGGTATAAACCTACCTAACCGAAGAATATAAGCAATTAAAATAATAAAATATAATGCCAATAAATTTATCTTCACATTGATACCATAACGATAAATATCAGATTACAAATTAAAAAATTATGAAGCATCAAACTTAGTCAAATTTTTGGGGTGGCGGAATTTTGTGCCGGGCATGTATTTTACGCGTAAAAAATTGTTTTTTACGTGTAACAAATAGTTTTATACGCGTAAAATAAAAAATTAATAATTTGATTCACTTCAGCGCGTAAAGAACTTCCACTTCAAAAATAAATCAATAAGTTCTTATTAACATACGCCTTAACATGGTTCCTGAAGAAGTTATAATCCTTGGTAGGGAGGTAAATAAAAATAAAAATATATTGCTTATTTCTAAGAACATTGGTAAACTATTTTTCTTGAAACGGGGTATTATTACATACATTTTAATGCCAAAGCGAATGGCGATAGTGTAAAAATCCGTATCAAGGGTTTTTTTCTCATTAGGCTAGAGAGTTTCTCGCAAAACTTTATTATTTTAATGGATACTGTAATTGCAACATAAAAACTAAGGTTCACAGTATTTGGTTACTTCAATACTGTGGACGGATTTCAAGATATTTGCGTTTATAGGCTAGGATATATCGATTTTAATATGGCAAATTGATGAGATTAAGGAAATTTTAGATAGACTATTTTTATATATCATAAAATACATTTTATTTAACATTTCAGCTTGTAGTCTCAGTTTGTTGTTAGATTTTTTTTTATTAATATAAAGAAATATTAATATGGTGTGTTATTTCTCAAAAATATTCATCAAATTCATTGCAGCTAATAGGTATTAGTTCTAAAATTATTTTAGTAAAACAAGTGTGTTGTCTTTTAAACGTTAAGTTACTAAACGGAACAAAAACAAAGACTTACACAAAGTAAACAGTAAAAAGCATGCAGGAAATTGTAAAACCACTGTATATATCGAGTAATTTATCTCAAATTAATTTGTATTTTAAAAAAGTCTCTCTATAAGTATATTTTTAATTGCCAGAGATAAATTATTGATCTTTGCATATAGAAGAATCAATAAATGTTGGAGTACATGTCATCAAAATATTTGACGACGCGACGGCTAGTTTTTTACTTAGGCCTCATAGATAAAGGAAAAAAGTTTAGATTGGAATGCAAATCTTATAATTGTTTTGGAGCGCATATCTACCTTGTAGAGCGCTGCTATAGCATAGCATTTGCTAAGAACAACCGCAAACAAGAACAGAAATAATTTTGTCTTGTAAAAGTCAGAACCTTCAAAAATTATAAAAACTTTTAAAGTTTCAACCGCCCTCATTGAAACAATACCCAAAAAGATTTTAAAACGTCCATTTTGAAAGTAACTATTGCTAGTGAGTTTAATTTAAATTTTATTTACTCCAACCCGTGATAATTGTGAAAAAGTGGCATTAAAAACTTAAAAAGCTGTGCTGTGAACTGTGAACTGCAAAAGCATTCGTGGGTCGTGGCACAAACGTCGGTTTCCAATGTTTCATAGGTATTTCATACATGTCCTTATACAGGGTTATTCACCACATACGACACGGAGTATTATAGCTAAACGATTAGATTTTTACAAATTTTAAGTTTTGGGTTCATTGAAGGACTATTAGAGCTACAATTTAGAAATAATTTTACAAGATACAGAGTGTCCCAAATAAGTAAAAAATGCTATAGTTGTATTTTTTTAAATGGAACACCCTGTATATTATTACATTTTTAGATTTTATTAATGATTGAAATAAAGGTAAATTTTATTAAGGTTTATCACACTTAAACCTTACCGTTTTTGAAATATTTTCAATTTTGTGAAATTGCAGTAAAAATTTTAAGGCTTCATTTCTCTAAGGGTATCAAAGTTTTTAATACTAAATATTTACTGAAGTTTATTTATTGATCAGTTATTGTGTTGCAATAATAAAAATTATACTACCTTATACAGAGTATCTAAAATTTTATTTTAAATAATTACTAGCTTTAAACGGCAATAACTTGTTTAATTTAAATAGAACGCCCTATATATTTTAGGAGAATCAGATGCATAATTTAATTGTCTATCAAATTGTATTATACCACTTTTCACCTATCCCTTCAAGTTTTCGTAGAAAATGCATTTTCTTATAATTTAGATCTCACTTATCAATATACCCATGGAATATTGACATTTTAGATTGTTTTTAAAGCAACAAATGTACAAAATGTACAGGCTAGTAATATTATTGTTTTTAACAAAATGATAATATGGCTAGCCCATTTGTATGCAAAAAGAAAACTATTTAAATCTTCATAAAAGAGTATACCATTAATTAAATATACCACCATTATTTCCGCCCAAATACTAATTAATTACATACTTAATTATGTTCGTGAATAAATTATTCAAAATAAATGTGGATTTGAATCAGAAATCAATATAATAATAACTTATAAAAATGAAAGTCTTTGTTGTTACAAATAAGCATTTGTCAAAAAATGAAATATCATTCTTAAGGTGTTACTTTTTACCACACTGTCTAATACACATAAAAAATTCAGTTTTTTAGTTTTTGGAGCAATTATTATTAATCAACGCAAACAGTCAATTAATGTAGTTTGCATACTGGAATCATATTAATTGGTCCTTTTTAACAAATATTTAAACAGTTTTATTATTTTTTAATGAAATACACAAACTATATCGACAATATTAGTATCTGTACTCTTTAAAAATTTGGTACATCTTTAAAAATAATCTAAAATGTCAGTCTTCCATGGATATATTGATAAATGAATTTAAAATTACAAGAAAATGCATTTTCTACGGAAACTTGAAGCTATAGGTAAAAAATGGTATAATACAATTTGATAGACAATTAAATTGTGCATCTGATTCTCATAAAATATACAGGGTGTTTCATTTAAATTAAACAAGTTATTGCCGTTTAAAGCTAGTAATTATTTAAAATAAAATTTAGACACTCTGTATAAGGTAGTATAATTTTTATTATTGCACCACAATAACTGATCAATAAATAAACTTCAGTAAATATTTAGTATTAAAAACTTTGATACCCTTGGAGAAATGAAGCCTTAAAATTTTGACTACAATTTCACAAAATTGAAAATATTTCAAAAACGGTAAGGTTTAAGTGTAATAAACCTTTATCAAATTTACCTTTATTTATTTAAAAAATACACGTTTGATATTTTTATTTATTTGGGACACTCTGTATCTTGTAAAAATATTTTTAAATTGTAGCTCTAATAGTCCTTCAACGAACCCAAAACTTATAATTTGTAAAAATCTAATCGTTTAGCTACAATACTCCGTGTCGTATGTGGTGAACAACCCTGTATAAAATAAAATTTATTGTATGCAACACACTGTATTTTATTTATAAAATTAAAAGAAAATAATAAGAAACTTGAATAAATAATATTTGGCAATATAATTCCGGAAAAAGCCGAACCGCTCCGAAATTTTCAAAAGCTTTGGGTCGCGAGCGTTGCAAGAATAGCGCCAAATAGTGTTTACATTGTCCTTATGGGCACTTTCCAATCTAAACTTCATTTATCTATGGTTATAGTGTTGAATAATTTTTTTGTTGTACTTTAATGTAAATAACAGTTTCGACGTGCTTGATGACGTGCAAGCCAACTTTTATTGGTTTCTCTATACACTATCTCGAATACATTGGCTAAACAGTTCGAAACAAAACAAACAGATGTCTACAAACGCAGAGTCGTGTAGATAAAAACAAAATGGCGGTCGGTTGGCCACTTACAGGTATCGAGGCGGGTTTGTTGACCACCACAACGTCCTCGTCCATATGTACAATGGTGATCGCTTGGCTAGTGACAGGAACCTCGTGTCTGCAACATACACTAGCTTAGTATGTCTCGAAATACTTGCGAGTAGGTAGTCGTATTTTGTGTAACAGTAAAAAGTGTTAGTAATAGGAAAAAAAGTACCCTACAGAATACACATTTTAGTATAAAAACTATTTAGAATAATTTTTCGAAAAAAAACGGCGTCGTAGACGGCTGAGGAATGACAATCGATAATAATTCTGGCGAGGTCAAGCCCTAGACGGCATTACTTGGCTCGGAAACGTTCTCAAAAAATTACTAGTGTTAACTTCGGACAAGTTTTATGTCAATTTTTTAGTTAATGACGTCTAGAGATTGAGCTCGCCAAAATTATCATCAATTGTCATTCACCAGCCGTATTTGACGCGGTTTTTTTCATCAGTAGGTTTGTTTTATATAACAGAAGTAAATAAAATTAATAATTACTACGAGTTTACTATAATTTTCTGACTTATTTTATTCATTACTTTTATAGTAACATTTAAAACTGCCTCAAGATTATAGGCCAATCAAATGAAAGGGTTCACTTGGAAAAAAGTGTTGGAAAGCTAATTATGGTCTTGATTTGTTCAGTTGATATTACAAATTACTATTACAAAAATTAAAGACCATTAAATTCTGCGTATAATGCGTATAAAAGAGACATACAAACGTTCGTCACACGGAAACTATGAATGATCATTTCCGTGTGACGAACGTTTGAATGTCACTGTAATGCGTTTATCAGCAAAATTATCACCATTCTTTATCTTTCGATTTCTGCCATACTACTGGACCGAATTGAACGAATTGATACTCATTATGCGCAGAATTTAATGGTCTTTAATTTTTGTAAAAGTGAAATGGCTAGAACGCAACATTTTGGAACTATAGTCGAAAATCTGACAAAAGTCCAAGAATTTTACCATCTTTTGGCCCTCCAGAGTCGAGCGGCAATCGAGCAACCGTGCAAAACTAGGATAATTATCTTTCATGTCAACTGAACAAATCAAAACCATAATTAGCTTTCCAACACTTTTTTCCAAGTGACCCCTATAATAGATCTTATTTGACTGGCCTATTATTAGAATAGCTAAAAAAGTAATTTTTTAACTTTTTTTTTAAATAATGTTTTGATTGTCTTTGACATTAATTACATTAAATAGCAAATTGCAAATGTTCTATTAGAAATAGTTATATTCATGTAAGATTATTAAGAAAAAAATAACTCAAAACAAACACAAAATGAAGTATAGAGCCAACCACTTCCCTTTCTAGAGTAGTCTATATGGGTGTTCCTAACACATAAAGACGAAACAAATTACTTTACAAAATTTACAAACGTTAGTAAAGTGTTGGTGTTTAATTCTATAAAACATTTTAAAAGGATTGAATGGGGACAATAAAGAAAATCCAAAATTATCTCCCTATTTGTTTTCCACGAAAATAATACACATTTTCTGTCGTAAATTTGACCTAGTAAATCAGTTTGAAGGGCAAACCAAAGCACTCTCTGTGATTCTAGGTCAGATCTTGTTTTCTATGTTTCTCTCTGGCTTAGACTATTTCAAATTTGTTCACTCAAAATTCAAGATTCCTTTATCTTTAATGCCTCAGAGTGGTAAAGAAATAAAAGAATTACAGAAAGAGTTGAAGACACTCAAGTGTTAAAATGATTGAGAGATCAGATGTATCACACTGACGTTTATCAAGTGTGTACTAATCTAAGTCCTAAAACTACCGAGTTTATACAGGGTGACAATTTGAAAACAAACAGTATTTAATATTACCTCTACCGATGATAGTATGAAATTTTGGCGAAATACGTCAATTTACATATCAAGGGGGACAATTTTTGAGGCATTTGTTGTCGTGTTACTTTCAACCCTTTGACCCCCAGGGCACCTACCCCTAAAATTTTAAGTGGCAACCCCTATTTCTTTTACCATTTTTGTGTTCCTTATAAAATTCTACATAAACTGCATTATTATTTTGTCAAAATTGTCATACTTAACCTCACAAATGAATGAAATGTATTTAATATCTAATTTTAAAACGGATTGCTTTCACCGCCTCATAGAACTTCATTTAAAAATGTTTGTACCTACCAGTAACACGACAACAAATGCCTCAAAAATTGTCCCCCTTGATATGTAAATTTTCAAACTATCATCGGTAGAGGCAATATTAAATACTGTTCGTTTTCAAATTGTCACCCTGTATACTGCAGCAAGGTGACGGGGTCAATCAAAGGGTGATATATTTATATTCGCTACACCTTTTAATTTCGTGTATGTGTAGTTCAGGATCTTCAGTTTGTTCTTCTCCTACTTTCAGGTATTCGGTTTTTGTGAGGTTGATATTGAGTCCCCATCTATCGTATTCTTCGGCAAGTTTCCTGAACATATAGTCGGCATTCTCCTCACAACCTGCAACAATAACTTGGTCGTCTGCAAAGAACAAGGTCGATAGACAGTGGTTGTCAATCTCTATTCCCATAGCTCTACTCTTCATTCTCCAGTTTTTCAATGCCTCCTGGAGATATATTTTAAATAAGGTAGGTGATAAACTGCACCCCTGTCCGATAGGAACTTCCCCTGTCTGATCATACTTTTTGGATTCCAGATTGGCATTGATATATGTTTTACTCACATTTGACTCAACCAAGATTTCAAATAATTTCTTCAAAGTCAACGTGTCATAGGCTTTCTCTAAATCTATAAATACCAGATGCGTGTCCAAATTTCGAGTTCTCCTTTTTTCAATTACTTGTTGTAACACAAATATGTTGTCTATACAAGAACGCCCAGCGCGGAAACCACGTTGTTCTTCTATTTCTTCAAAGCTCTCTTCTACTCTCTCTCTTTTAATATCCTGCCATACAACCTTTCCATTGAGCTGGTCAAACTAATGCCTCTGTAGTTGCTACATCTTTTTTTGTCTCCTTTCTTAAAAATAGAGCTGATTGTACGCCAGATTCCAGTCTTCAGGAATGTTGTCGTTTTTTATCAGGCATCTGTTGAAGATATCAGCTAGTATTTCCAATAATATATCGGGTCCCTGCTTTATTAGCTCAATGAAAATGTTTCCCAACCCTGCAGCTTTTCCATTTTTTTGAGTTCTTCAATGCTTTCTTTATCTCGTTTACACTTATTTCATTTACATCTATATTTTTTGCGTTTTTCAAATCTGGTACTTCTAGTTTGAATTCTGTCCTGTTTTCTGTCAGTAACTGTTTGTAATGATCTTCCCACTTTTCCATGCTTATAAGTTCTAATTTACTGTTTTGATTTCCGTCTCTTCTAAGATTCCTTATTGTCTTTCACGCTTCTGACACTCTTGTACCTCCCATATATCTTTCCACTCTCTCACATTTGGTTTCACACAAATTTTTTGATTTACAATACATTTATTTTATATCAAAAACATTAAAACTAAATGGTATGCCATAGAGTATACTTTCCTCTAATTATATATCTATAAAATAATTATGAATACTAATCGTAGAATGTTTAGGAGGGGAGTTAATCACCGCGACCTTATAGATCTATTGTGTGTAATACTAATCGTTGAATTGAATTAACAGAATATATAAAGTTATACAGTTGCACTTGTGAGAGTTTAAACAAAGGAATTATATGTTCTGTTACCACTCTGAATGAAAAGCAATGGCGGGCTTTGTGTTTAGCCCCGAATAGTTGTTCTTAACTGAATAATGATAACCGCAGAGGATTAGCCACTTACAGCTACCAGCAAATAGAAGGAAAGACCTTTTGAATTATTCATTTAAATTTGATACTAGGCCACCGAAACTTGGTTGGAGACATAAAACATGTTAAACTACTGTTTGGATGTTGTAGGTAATGTTTTTTTTTAAACTTTATGTAAGGTAATTTGAAAAAATCTGATATCTTGAATTTCTGTTATTTCAATGTTCTGCTTATACAGTTTTGAGGTTTTGAAAAGGTTGAAACCACAGCTTAATTCGTCGACCGGACCGGTTTTTAATCTCCATAAAAAAAACTTAAAAAAACCGCTGGGGTGTACAAAAAACGGAGCCTAGGTATAACAATCAACGAAAATAATCGGATAAAACGCCAAATATGTGAGGAGTATGTAGAAAAATTCTTTAATGATAATAGACGGTCTATTATCAGTCGAAAATAATCTAACTGGACCTTCTGTGATGAAAGAAGAGATTGAAAAGGCTATACAACTTGCGAAGAATAATAAAGCAGCTGGGCCGGATGAGATCCCATCAGAAATACTCAAACTTCTGGACGAGAGAGGCATTGCAGTTCTATCCAAATTGTTTAACCAAATATATGACACTGGTCACTATCCGGAGCAATGGTTATCTTCAATTTTTTCCCTATACCAAAGAAGATCAGCGCACAAAAATGTGAAGGATACAGACTCATCAGTCTCATGCGTCATTCTCTAAAAATATTCGTGAGAATAATACACCGGAGATTGTACGGAAGGTGTGAGGATGCCATGAGTGATTCACAGTTTGGATTTGGACAGGGGTTAGGCACCAGGGAAGCACTGGCCGCGACGCAGATATTAGTACAAAACTGCTACCACCAGCGAAAGAACGCATGTCTATGTTTTATAGATTACGAAAAAGCTATCTATTGGGTTCAATATCATAAACTTATGCAGCTTCACAGGAGATTGGATTTAGACCAGAAAAACATCCGATGTATCGAAAACCTATACTGGCACGGGTAAAATTAGCGAACGGCCTAACCAACCAAGAGAGAGTAAGGCAGGAGTGTATACTATCGCCGCTCTTGTTCAATATATACTTAGAGGCCATCTTTCAGGAGTCGCAAGGAGATTGGAAGATAATAATAATATATGAGAATAAAAAAACGGGCAAACATTCCTTGATCCAAAAATGTTCACTAATAATAGCTTATTTGTCAAGATCTTTTTTGTGGGATACCCTTTAGTTCACACTTGATAACCGTCACGCATACATCTGACCGAAATGTTGTATAAATTTTCAAAATTATAGATAATGTCAGTTTAACGTCTCAGAAGATATTTATTTCATAAAAAAACTATTATGTTAAAATTAGAGAATATTATTTGTCATTGATTATTTCCCCACACAATCCGTATTACGTAATTTTCAACTTAAAAATATAAGTCTTGAGAAATTAAAAATAAAACAAAAAGAAAATGTATCCACGTCAAAATCACTAACCTGTGCACTACATTGGCTAGCAAGTCATTATGTTTCAGCTTATAGTCTGTAGGAACCTTCTCATAGTTGACTGTTAGGGTACCAGCCTGAATACATCTCTCGTACTCTTCGGCAGGATGTGCTCTGAATTCCCTGGCGAAGACATCCAGGATGCGTTCACCCACCCATCTACCTTTGGTGAAGGTTGTGAAGGTGAAGTAATATGGATAGACCTTTCGTAGACCTGCAAATAAGGTTAGTGTTTACACTTTCAAATGTTAGAGGAAAGTAACTAAATATGGAATATTATCTCTAATATATAGGTCCGACCAAACCTGGATTTTTAATATCGACCGAAATCGAGACCGAGAAAAAAAATAAATTCTCGGCCGAGACCGAGACACGATGCAATATTTATTCAATAATTTATTATATGAAAAAACATTTGATAATAACGGTTTTACTGGGATTTACAAGTGTGCTATATTTTTGGAAAGGTAATTTTAAATTCTTTTCAGTTAATTAAAAATATAGAGGGTGTCCCAAATAAAAAATCAATTATTCTGTTGATAACTCTTAAATTATTAATTTAAAAAAAAATATACTTAAACCATTAAATTCTACGTAAAAAGTTGCTTTGGAAATGTTTTCATAGAAATACAACATTTTCCATAGCAAAAAAGTTACAGCGATTTGTTAAAAATGCACATTTTTGAAAAACACCCCGTAACTCCGAAACGGTAACAGATATTGATGTGCGGTTTTCACCATTATGTTTTTGATGAAAATTGAGCTCCAGAGACCGATATTAGTTTTCGTCTATCTCCTATAGAAAAGGGTGTCTCCATTTAAAAGCGTCGAATTCGACCCACCCTGTACATACAATATATGTAATCTACACACAAAGTGTTTATTCTCGACGCCATTGTAGAATACACGAAAACACTGGGCTTTAAATAAAACACTCCTTACTAGTCGGCTATCGTATATTAACTGGCCTCGTCTTTCGACATTACGTAAAGACAGATGACATTGTTGTTAGAACTATTAATTCACAGTAGACTTGTTACATAATAGGAATCTCTAAACTATTGTACCCTACAATGTTCAATTTCAAATCCAAATAGTTATTAAGTTATGTCGTGCAACTGTATGACTGATAATAATAATTGAGAATAAACATTTTTAATTTACAAAACCTTTTTTTTATATAATACAAAAACTAAATGGTTTCCATATTTGGTTACTTATGGTAATTAAGCGTAATAAGTAACCAAATATGGAAAGCTTAATATAATGCTTAAGCTTATTATAAAGTTTATGTAACACAATACTAAAATCAGTAGTGTCAAATTACGAATTATATTATATTCCTTCGCCACAAACAATTAAAACCATTCCCCATTTTGTCAAGAACATTATGACTTTTTCCACATCAGAATTTTTTTTTGCAAAAAAAAGTGAAACTTTTGTATTTTTCATTTTTTTTATTTTTTACTTAAAAAAAACATATCATAATAATATGGCACCCTGTATAAATTATTATTTTATAATTCTTTTGTAATCACTCAAAAGATTCAATACAAATTTTTAAATAAAAAAAATTTCTTTTAAAGGAACAGAGGATTAAAATTTTCCTTCACCATTTTGTCAACAAGTATAATCAATGTAAGTATATATTTTATAAACTGGTTAAATTACAATTCCCATAATAAATTTAAATAAAAAAAAATTGAAGTAAATTATTTTTCTATCAAAAGGAAATTTTTTCACAAAATTAAAAATGTCCTTCACCATTTTGTCAAACAGCTATGATTAATGTAGGGTCTGTGGTAGGGTCGTAGGGTTTTTATCAGAGAGGGACAACTAACCGTATGTTCTTCTCTAGTTTTATCCTTCTTTACACAGGGTGTTTAAAAAATACATGGCCGAATTTCAAGAGGTTGATTCTCATCAAAAAATTTGAAAAAAGTTACTATAAACATGGAATACATTTGTTGTTATGTTTAAAACTACTTATAAATACCATAATTTTTTTAATTTGCTGTAGCTAGGCAGCAATGAACATCAGTGTTATATATTTATTAATTTTATTAATTGTCATTAATAAAAGTGCGTTTATCTCATCAAAGCCAACGAAATCGGCACACTATCAAAAAACAACTTTTAATCGGCCTTAAACGGCCTACACAGTTTAATCAACAAATAAAAAAAAAAGTCAGTGGCGTTTTTTTTTCTAGAAAAAAATTGCAGTGATAACCATATGAAAATCCCTGATGATTCTTTTTTAGCATTAAAGTACCTACCACTCATAGTAACTTTTACCCTCCAAATTTCATTTGAATCATTACAAGCAATTGGAAGAAATTATTTGATAATCAAAAAAAAATAAGACTTTAACCCCCCTTGCAACTGCAAAACAAAGCAGAATCGGATCTTGACATAAAAAATAAACTGTAATTTTATCTCAAGGACTGTATATTATATTCTAAAGGACTGTTCGATCCCGTCAAATCGCCGCTGTCGTAGTCGCTGTGGAATGCTACGTCACGCGCTGACCAGCGCTCCACAGTGCGGCGGATGGTTATTCTAGCGGGACAAAATCTCAATAGCAATGTTTGGGACTAAAATCTAAGAACGTAGCAAATGGTCTAATATATAGCAACTATATGGTTAAATTTATTTATTTATTAGCAACTTAATTTATTAATAAATAAATACAAGATAATAAAACTATGATATTATTCGTCCATGACACACAAAAACCGTATTGTAAACTATTGCCAAATACATAAAATTATGATATCAAAAAACTCTTTAGTAGTTTTTTTTTAATTAATTTGCAATCTTGTGACACCCTCTATAATTTATTTTAAAAAAATATATTTTATTTTGAAAATAATAAATAAGATAGATATTTTAATTTTAACACTCGGTAATTGTAAATTCATATATAGTAAGTATCTAAGACAATTTTTTAAACTCAGTGCCTTTTGATGGAGTTGTTTTGTTTTTATACTATCCGATTGAAATGAATCTTTTTGGGCATTCACCTGTTAAGCTTGAACTCCCTGTGACTGTAACTACTTGTGTTGGTAACTATTGGTAACTCAAAAGATCTACATCATTCAATATATCGATATTTGAAAAAAAAGTGAAAGTTTGATATCTGCAGAACAAAGGCATGAAGGATTTTAACAAATAATATACGTACAGTAGAAAAGTACATACCTTTGGCAATCTTCAACATAATTTGGCTTTCTAATAAAATGTATAAGCACTTGTAAATATTTTGTTTTCGTATGATCTCTGCCTTGCTGAGCAGAAAACGACCAAATTTGGTTGATAAAAATGTATCGAAATACAAAGAATATTCATGCATTTTTGTATCAATTGGAATGTCTACTATTTATTCTTATCAGTACAGATTTTTTCGCTTATTTCTAACCAAACGCTTTTGTCCCGCTAAATTTATCTTCCAACGCTCTGTCCGCTCGTCCGTCAAATGCAAAAATAACTGTCACTGTCTAATATCTTTAGCGCCAACTTCAACTCGGTCAGTAGATGACGTAAAAAACTGACAGTGCAGGAAGATAGGAATCGAACTATCCTTTGATTTTATCTAAGGAATCTCCCCACGAGAGATGGCAGATGTTTTTTGAAACACCCAGGAATTTGATTTTAATTTAAAAATATTTTTAATGAAAAGTAAATTAAAAATATAAAAAATATATATAACAAGACTCACCATTTTCAATGTAATACGACGTTTCGTTGTAGCGATCGTCGGTGAATCCGGGTCTTTTAGCCTTGAGGGCTTTCGTTTCCAGTTTTGCCTGAAAAAAAGAGAAAAAAGAACGAATTACCGCTAATGTCAACCTGTGGGACTCTCTAAAATATATTATCCCTTATTTCGGCTCTCCCTTACGTATGCCCTTCCCCAGGCCCTGCAGGATTTCTCCCATTAACCCGAAAAATTTATTGATAAAGTTTAACAGGTATTACTTTAGATGCGGTAGAAAAAAATTGGGGAATATTTAATCAGTTTTTTGCTTTTTTGCTGGTGAGAAAATGACTGATAAAATCAAGGAGACACGGTTTTTTTATTGAAAAGTTTGATACACCCCTGAGATATTCGCGGTTTTATATTTCATAAATCTATCTGTAATTCTCTATTTTTTTACTCAGTAGTTCTATACAGGTATGGACGAAAAGTTATTTCTTATCAAACCAGCAAAAAATATGTACCTAGTTGGCACCCTCTATAAGTAGGAGTCAAATTGACAGCAAAATCAAATTTCCCATGTCAAAAATCTCCCAGACACTAATTTTCATCCAAATATTGACGTTACTTCAGAAATTATTTGAAAAAAAAAACTGAAATAAAAATAAAAATTTCTACACTTTGTATCTCTGAAACTAATAAGCATTTTAGGACAGATTATACGAACTTTTTTACTTATTTTTATCTGCAGAATATGCTGCTGAAGTTTTCTTTTCTAAAGCCGAAGTTCCCTTCCTGCCTAAAGTTAACTTCAGCTATTGACAGCTCACGTCAAGCACGCTTATACAGGGTGCCCCAGAAATAAGTGCAAGTATTTTAAGAGGTGGTAGGTCTCGATAAAATAAACATATTTTCTCTTTATCGTTTTTCAAATAAGTCCAAAATAACGGAGTTATTTTACTTTGAAAATTTTCAAAAAAGATTTTGAGAAGCACTGGAACCACATTTGTAATAATTATTCGTGTCCACTGTAAATCAGTGACATACTTATAGACATTGTGAAATAGAAATTTAACAATGCAAATATAGCAAATCTAGAGAGAGATTCAAATATAGAGAAAATACACGTGGTATTTCATTACAAACCCGATATTGGCATATTGGGTACGAGTTGGGGCACAATCGAATCAATTAGGCCCTATTAGTAAGCATTGTAACCGAATTGGAGGGCGTAATACGTCAAAATGAAGTAGAAAGCCTCGGAGAGAAGGGCAGGTCCGTAATAGGTTGCCATCAAACTGTCCCGGTAGATTGAGTTAACTAAGCGTCGAAGTTTGTTAATTAATAATAATGCGCTGCATGCCTCGTGGCGGTCAAATTACAGTTAAACCAATTCCTTCTTGGAGGAACTCGACTGTTGGATTGTAAGACGAACATGTAAATCTTTCTTAGTCGTAACTTATCCTATTGTCTTACCTTATTAATCATAGATCATTTAGAGTAAAATATATTAATCCATAATCAGTCAGTATAGTATCGACTGACTATAGTGACAAAGAAAATCTAGGAACTAGTGGGGTTGCAGTTGGAAGGGTTTGGACTAGAATTAATACACTTTGTTAATAGTCAAGCTTTCGGAATTTATTTATTCCATCCTCAGGACACTGAAATGGAAATACATGTTACACAAAAGGCTATAAAAATCAAGTAGAACCACGTTCAGTAAGTTATTTCTATTAGTATTAATTCTAGTCCAAAGTCCAAACCCTTCCGACTGCAACCCCACTAGTTCCTAGATTTTCTTTATCCATAATTATAGGTATACCATTTTTTTTTTTCACTTATATGAAGCGTTTGATATTTTGATGATATTTTTTCCACTATTAGATTGTAGATTATATGAGAAGGGCTTAAATACTACGACCTAGAGCTTATAACAAAAATCTGTATAGTTTTCGTTAGATCACATATAACAGGGACACTAATTTTACTCGAGAAAATAATGAATACGCTCTATACATATATAATTCAGGCGCTATCTCTAGGGAGCTTACAAATAGAGTCCGGTGGCTAAGCCACTGGATATCCGATGGAGTTTATTAGTGCGATAGGCAACCCCAATCGTCCATCGGGGATCCCGGTCCGATACCCTATTTAAACCCGATACCTGGGTCTATTGAAAGGGAAACGCACACGTTTCGGCAAGGTGGTCAATAAAACCTTATCTTATTATGAAGGGTTTAGTCAGTACAGAGTATCCTTTTGTTATCGAGATAACTAAAGTGAATAAACTATTGAATAAACAAACTCAGAAAGAAATGATGATGGTCCTATCTAAAATCTAGAAACACAGAACATTAAACAAGTTTAGATAGGGACAGTGCTCATAAGGACACTGTAAATACACACACCGGAAAAATCTAGGGATATCATTTTATTAAAGTTAAAAATAAATGTTTTGAATAAACAACCACATATTTGTAGGCCGATTCTTTCTACTTCGATTGAAACGAAGTAGTCACACTAGTTATTTCTAAATTTGGGATATTTGCAGAAGTGTTTGTGCATTTTTGTCAAATGTATAAAAAGCACCTAGCATCAATTGTTCGAATTTAACCTGTACTGGCTATGTTTTTATGATAACTGGCCAGAATTCATTCAAATAACTCTGTTTAGTATTAAACGACATTATAGAGCGTAGACATCTTAACAGCGACGAAATGCTAAGGGCCATGGGTATGCTCGAAGCTGGAATGGGCCAAATCGACGTAGCTAGAGCATTAAATACAACGCAAAGTGTAATATCGCGATTAAGTGCACGCTACCGTGAAAGTGGTGATGTTGCTAAAAGGCACACAGGGCGACATCGCATTACTACCCCTCAGCAAGATCATTTTTTACAATTAAATGCTTGACGCCGACCAACTCTTACAGCACCAGAGCTTAGTTTAATTCTCCAGGAAACACATAATGTAACCGTTAGTCCTGACACTGTTCGCAATAGATTAAGAGAGGTCAACTTAAGAAGCAGACGCCCCTGGAGAGCTCAACCCTTAACGAGAGGAAATCGAGAGGTACGATATTTGTGGGCTCAAGATCATGTTCAGTGGTCGAATGAAACAATGTTCTCTTCACGGATGAGTCACGCTTTGGAATTCATCCGGATTCGATAAGGGTTAGGGTATGGAGAGAATCGGGAAATCTTATTCGGTTGGATCATGTTCAGGAAGTGCACCCTTATCAAGGTGGAACAGTTATGGTCTGGGGAGGAGACCAGTTAGGCCGAAAAACCGATCTCGTTTTTCTTGAAAGGTTTCTAACAGGAATCACATATCGTGATTTAATTCTTGAGCCTGTCGTGTTACCATATGCCAATGATTTTGGGAGAAACTTCATTCTCATGCATGACTATGCACGGCCTCATACAGCCAGAGTGGTAAGTGAGTTTATCAATGCTCATCAATTAAACATCTTACCCTGGACGGCACAATCTCCTGACCTCAACCCCATCGAGCACGTATGGGACGCGGTCCAAAGGAGAATTTTGAGAATGGGTATGCCTCCTGAAACTCGTAGGGATCTGGATCGGGCCGTGAATGCAGCGTGGCAGGCTGTACCTCAAGAAGAGATCGACAACCTGATCAGGAGCATGGAGAGACGATGTAAGGCTGTAATGAACAGTAGAGGAGGCCATACCCTTTATTAAGTAAAAATGGTTTTATCTTTTTTTTAATTCACAGTTTAGAATAAAAAAAAAAGTGTGTATTTTTTTGAGTTCAATAAAAATCAAGGTAAATTTGAAAAATTCGGTAAACTTGGAATTTTTATTTCCAATACGTCCTGTAAACTATCTGTTTATTTTAATTTTATTATATCAGAAATGCAAATAATAAAATTACTGACGATGGCGGGATAAAATTGTAATATCCCTAGACTTTTCCAGTGTGTATATTTAAATATTTTTCTATAATAATCAAGAACTCGCATTGAAAGTAGGTGTATGATTTGTATTTAATGTAATATTAAATATTTTCATATTTTATTGAATTAAATATTTAAATTGAAATAGGGTTCGTGAATCATTGCCGATTTCGATAATTCGATAAATTAAATATTTGGATACTCGATACACTTTTTCCAATTTAGTTGTTTATAAATAAATTGAGTAATGGCTTGGGCGTATTAATTGTCTATTATTTCATTATAATAATATCAGATTTTGCGTAGTTGTATTTGCATATAATATACCGTATGATCGAAAAAAAAACGGCGTCAAAAACGACTGAGGCATGAGAGGCAATGATCATTTTGACGAGGTTACTCTCAAGGACCTCATATGCTAAAAATTGACATAAGACTTGAAAAAATTAACGCTAATAATTATGGAAAGACTAAAAAAGGATATTTTTAATATCCTATTTCCAAAGAATTATTTTTTTCTAAAGTTTTAAACTACACCATTTAAAAATCATTTTTACCCAATACAAAAATAAATTACAACCTTCTTAAGCCAGCTGGCAGTAACAAAAAAAGAGGCCAAGTAAATGACGTCTATAGGGCCTGACCACACTTCACTGCTTAGCCGTCTTTGATGCCTTTTTTTTTTTCAATCGTATTGCATGAGTTATATTTTTTCAATGTTAAAATTAATATAATTAATTAATTAAACTAACGAGAAAGATCGTAAAAGTATAGAATGGAAACGATAAAAGACCCAATGTAAAGTAATTAAAGAAATTTATATAATCCCTTGAAAGGCGTTATACATATGTATTTTAAGGGTAGGTATACATTTTCATACATTATTTAATTTCTTACGTGATACGATGTCGTAAAACGCAGGTATATTACGCCACACTTCACGTACAAGGGATCATATCTCCAAAATAAACAAGGGAGACAGTTTACCTGTAGGGCATTATATACGAAATTCCCACTAGGGGTTGACGGCCCTACCTGGCACACACCACCTCGCGGCTTGTTCATCAAAATCCACTTTAATATTCATCACCGTCAGAAAGTTTGTAATTATTTGTCTAAGATTTAGAGAAGGCAATTTTAAATAACTACACTTCAATATTATTAATTTATTAATTAAATCTAATATAAACCCCAAAAAAAAAAAAAATTCTGACTTTGAAAGGTGAAAGCAGTATTATACAGGGCGGTCCGAACTGTATTCCGGAAACTTCGGCAGCATATTCTGCAGATAAAAATAAGTAAAAAAGTTCGTATAAATGTACAGGGTAGGTCAAATTCGACGCTTTTAAATGGAAACACCCTTTTCTATAGGAGATAGAGAAAAACTAATACCTGTGTCTGGAGCTCAATTTTCATCAAAAAGATGATGGTATCTGTTACCGTTTCGGAGTTACGGGGTGTTTTTCAAAAATTTGCATTTTTAACAAATCGCTGTAACTTTTTTACTATGGAAAATTTTGTATTTCTATGAAAACATTTCCAAAGACTTTTTACTTAGAATTTAACGGTTTAAGTATAATTTTTTTAAAATTAATAATTTAAGAGTTATCAACAGAAAAATAGTTTTTATATTTGGGACACCCTCTATATTTTTAATTAACTTTTATTTTTTATTTATATTTAAAATTACCTTTCCAAAAATATAGCACACTTGATATTTTGTTATAATCCCCTTAGAAATACAGAAATTTTAAAAGTTCGCCACTTTTAACTAGTACGCTTTGGACCCCTTATTGATGATATGCTCTTAATGGAACCTCTGAACCTGTACTGTACTGTACCGCCTCTGAACGCTAAAGTTATCAGCAAATTTTTGCAGCCAGTTTCAAGAATAATTGAATAGCTAACCAAGATCCCAGCCGTTGACCGTCGAGGCCGCCTGACTTAGTGCCGATGGATCTAATCCTATGGATATATTTGCGGAAGAATAAAGGTTCCTTATTCTTCCGTATAATCTAGACAAGAATTAGAAATACTTAGCAGTTATGAGAGGGTATCTTTCACCCCTACTGAGTTAATGAATTCCGCGAGAAACTGCCCCGTCTGTCCATAACAGAAGACGGTCGATATGTCGAACACCTGTAGCAAAATCTCCTGTCTTGGTTTGCTATTTATTTTTATAGTTATTAGATATAATTTAAATGTGTTGATGTTGGTTAAATATATTTTAAATTGTTATAAAATTTTGCATCTCTCATAGCAAATATTATTTTCGTTTTAACTGATGCTCACAGCTAGAATTATTTTGCATTACAACAGGTGCCGTTCAAAGCCTACTTAATTAAAGCGGGCGAATTTTTATATACTCGATATCTCGAAGGGGAACCGAGCAAAATATCAAGTGTGTTATATTTTTGGAAAGGTAATTTAAAATTCTGTTCAATAAATTAAAAATATACAGGGTGTCCCATATAAAAAATAAAATTTTCTGTTAATAATTCTTAAATTATTAATTTTTAAAAAATTATACTTAAACCATTAAATTCTACGTAAAAAGGTGCTTTGGAAATGTTTTCGTAAAAATACAAAAATTTTCCATAGCAAAAAGTTACAGCGATTTGTTAAAAATGCATATTTTTGAAAACACCCCGTAACTCCGAAACGGTAACAGATATCGATATGCGGTTTTCACCATCACGTTTTTAACAAAAATTGAGCTCCAGACACCGATATTAGTTTTTGTCTATCTCCCATAGAAAAGGGTGTTTCCATTTAAAAGCGTCGAATTTGACCCACCCTGTACAGGGTGACGCCCCTCATACGCCGCGGAAGCTCCAAAGAGAACGGTAGTTTATGTCGAAATAAAATTTTGGCAGCGTATGTAGGTTGACTGAAAGCATTTTATAAAAATATATAGAATTATACAGGGTGTCCCCAAAAAAAGTGACATATCAAAGTTTTGTTTTTTCTAATGGAGCACCCTATTTATTAATTGATTTTCGGATTCTAGGAGAAAAATAATGGTGAGTTTTATTCAAGAAGCATATACATACCTAAAATCTGAGGATTTTGGCATATCTCATATTTTGTGAAAATGAACTAAAGTGACCGAAAACATCAATCAATCCTACTTTATGTCATATACTCAAGTTATAGGGATGAGCCACTTTTGAAACACACCCGGTATAGAAAATAGCTGAATCGAAATGTCAACAAAAATATAGCCGTAACTGTCAAATTGATTGGTCTCAATCATTCCACATCATTCGGTCAGTCCGTACCAATCCGCACAACAAGACCATAGATAAAAGACTTATACTATTAAATAGATAGGCAACTTATAATACATTTCAATTTTATTATACAAGGGCGCCTCTGGTAGACGGAGGAAGGAATACTAATGGAAGAGAGGGGTGCGGGGAAGGGGGGTTGTTTTAGTTAATTTAAAATATATTTAGACATACATGTAAGAACACTTTGTGTGCTTTTAATTAGGTCGAACATATTATAAACGATAAATCAACTGAATTAAAAGCATACAAAGTGTTCTTATATGTCGGATATTAATTAAAAAATATATTAAAAATACTAGAATAGTATATATTAAGTTGTTACAGTTATAATTTAATCTTTGGCGGTTTTCAGCAAATAGCAGGCAGTTTTACATAATTTTCCTCCCTTTGAAGTGAATTGGAAACGGCTAGGTATATAATTTTTGGTGTAGGCAAGATTCCCAGTTTGTTTCCGTTTGGGACCTGAAATAATAAAAACAAATTAAATCAGATGTAATCATCTGCTGATCATGCTAATATAAAACGCGCGTCCTTAATTCCTTACATGCACCGTAAAAAAATTAAATAACTGCTCTGCAAGTAGCATTTATTAGCAGTACTAATTTAAAAAATCTATAACTGTAAGTAGATATGTTTAATTTACTTACCATTGTATCCTTCGGAAACCAGGTGTACAACAATTAAACTCCATGATAAAAAATAATTAAGAGTTATTACAAAACACAAATTGTCCCACCATTTTTAAAAAACATTGTTGAAGGAATTTAATTTTACAATAATTCGACAAATCAAAACGAAATCAAACCGTAAAATCACAACAAAAGCGTCTCTAAGTGACAGTTAAAAATCAAATTTTATTATTGTCAGATATTGACATTTGCATTGTTATTATTGACAGTTTTAATATTTTGCTCCTCTGCATCTTGGAGGAAAAACTATTTTTAATGAACTGTCATTTCCATTTAAGTTTCCCAGCCATGAACAAGACTGATAAAATAAATCTAACTTCACTCCACTTCACTGTTTAGGCAGTACGGAGTTAAGCAAAATAAATACACATCAAAATTGATTAAAAATCAACAACAAATTAGTTAATAATTCATATAAAAAAATGAATTATTAATATCCAATAACCCTATAAAAGAAACAACTGTAAAAAAGATCATGATGTTTATTAATTTTTTTTTTGTTTCAACATCAAACCTACAAGCTACAATTATAAATAATTCTCACCAATAATTATCAACCTTCAATAAACATTCTGTATATATTAATCACGATCGGATGAGCTAACACAACAAACTTGACGTTTTCTACTGTTTCTAACGATTTTATTTTTGTCGCGATGTATAAAAATAACCGAGGTACCACCGTCGAGGTTGCCAGATGTATATTCAAATAGTCATGCGTTTGTTTTGTCTAACGTATAGCTGATAATAAGATTTATTTGACATTGAAAAACAAGATCACATGAAATTAATCAAATTACGTGTTTTATAGAAAAAAATTTCTCATCAAGAAACGTATTTTCTCTTATAGATATTTTACTTTAAAAAATATTTTTCGCTTAAATTCAGAACCACTATATCTTTTCTGGGGTTTTCTTTCTTTTAAAAATATACCTATTGACATATTACGAATATATTATGTTTTTAACAAAGAACCAAAGAAAAATTACAATTTCTTTCACAAAATTCAAAATTTTCTATTTTTTTCACGAAAAAAACTTCAAAGACGTTATTTTTAAAAAAATCAAATGTTTAACTCAAACTTGCCCAATGCGGCAACTTTGCTTTGCTCAGTAAACGATGCGGACTAGCGTTTCAGTTGGTGTTGTCGCCGCATCGTACTTGAAGTGAGGTGTTTCTAAAACCGGCCGGTTTGAAAGTGAAGTACCGTAAAAAATGGAACAATCTCAGGAATCTGAACGTCAACGATCGGGACAGCATGGACCACCAATCGAAACGCAAGAAGTAACGCGTTATGAACGGGTTAAAAACAAATGCATGCGTAAGTGGGCGAATCTTATTTGTTATTTTTGTAGTACGTATTATAGTTAATTATATGTAATTTTGTTAAGGTTGTTTACAATACGATGTGCAGTATTTTATATGCACATTGAAGTGTTTTTTCTATTTTTTGAACATTTTTATAATTACCCAACTAAAATAATTCAAATTTAAAGCGTTGTATATTTTATTTTTAGGCCTATTTTCATGATTTTTTCAGCAAACTGTTTATAATGCTTCTTTAACATGTCTTTCTAACATTCTATCAATAACAATCTATCAAAGAATGAAAACGAAATTGCATTACCATAGAAAGGTGATTTGATTTGACTATATTTTCATGTTTTTCTTTCAAAATTGTCTCTAAAACGATATGGAAATTTGGAGAAGTATAAACGGGATTATACAACGAGATTTGGTATGTTAGTATATGACATAAATTGGGATTGATTGACGTATTCAATTGTTTTCGGCCACTTCCAGTTTCACCGGAAATGACTACAACTTTTGATTTTTAAATGGCGCCCTCGATATTTTTTTAATGTATTCGACAGAAAATGACACTCTGAATCGAACGACATATCATATGTCAATTTTTGATATAGTCACTCAAAAACAAATTGTATTTTAAATTTCAATCTAGAGTGCTCAATCGGCTGTGTTAAAAACACTAATTTTTAATCAAGGAGCCTTGGAAAAATAGATTTGATCGTCTAACGGTTTTACTGTCTTGCCCTGGTCGGTTAAAAGATGCCCAAATCGTATTTTTAATCATATCTCAAATTTTTCAAAGGGCACGAGGGTGACTCATTAGCATGTTTGGAAAAAGCATTTTTTTACGAATAATTTGATATCACACAGTTGGTATTTTGAGTCAAATTGTCGTTATGAACCGCATGTTACGATTTCAAATAAGCCATATGCGAAAATGTCAAAAGTTGACATATGATATGTCATTCGATTCAGAGAGTCATTTTCTATCGAATAAAGTAAAAAAATATCGAGAGTGCCATTTAAAAATCAAAAATTGTAGTCATTTCCGGTGAAACCGGAAGTGACCGAAAACAATTGAATACGTCATATACTAACATACCAAATATAGTTGTTTTATCTGAAAGAATAAAACAGTTATAGGAGGTGAGGCACTTTTGAGACGCACCCGGTATAAGTAATATATCCTTCATCCTCATCCGGTTTCAGAATACTGATAAGATTTGATTTTTAAAACTCAAATATTGATTCATGCCATTACTAATCGTTTTTTTTTATTATAAATAGTAATTTAATATATTATAGACTTGTTTTACTATAAAATGTGTTTTTGAAAAGCGCATTAAACAAAAAATGTTTATTTTTAACAATAATATAAATATTTGCTTAATACACCTAGGTAGTAGCTAATTTATTTTTACATAAAACGAATTACAATTAAACATAAATAATATTTATAACAGCCTATAAAATTATTATACCATACAATCGAAGAAAAAAAGGACGTTAAAGACGGCTCGGATAAATTTTATTGTCGATGAAAATTGTGGCGAGGTCGAGCCCTAGACCTCATTTTTTACTTGGCCCTTTAATAAAAAAGAAGGCACTTTTTTATTTAATGTAGATTGTAATTTATTTTTATATTGAAAAAATTATTTAAAAAAAATATTTTTAAAATTTTGAAAACTAATTTTTTGGAAATAAATTTTTGTGACTGTCGTTTTTTTTTAGATCATACGGTACACGGTACGTAACGTATAGTCATTGTGGAATTTGAACTATTGGAATTAAATAATATTGATACCTTTACCATCAAGATTTTTTTTACAACTCAAAGATCGCGCACACTATACCTGCACGGACCAGACCAGTAAAATCTACCGGTGAAGGTGACCGTGTTATTTAATAGAGTAGAGCACACTAGACCATTACCAGCACGTACCGCCACAAGCCACGACCGTCAAAACAGGTCGTGTCGGTCAGGGACAAATATGACCGGCAATATTTATGCCTGGTCGTGCTGGTCCTACCTAATGTGCGCACCGGCGAACCAGCACACCTCCACAAACATGCAAATATTGAAGGGTTTGTCAGTATTTCGAGTACGCTAGCTGGCTCAAGTCGCATGATGTAGGTTAGATTTCGTTTATTTTTGTTCGAACCTTTAAATCGTTTTAAATATGAATGAAGAAAAGCTTATTTTACTGGTACAAAAGTATCCAGAGCTGTGCGATACGAGCCAAGCATTTTATATATAGAGACCAAGAAAGAAAAGATGCAATATGGGAGTCGATAGCAAAAAAAAAATAATCAAATTTGATTTGTGACATTCGAAAATATTGGAAAAACTTTTCTTCGAATCTTTTAATTCAGGAAACAAATGATGAAATTCGCCATATTGATTTCTCTTTTTGATTTATAGGGTGAACCCAAAATCTTCTTTTTTCTTAGCTTCCTTCTCTTCCTCCTCTTCTTCACACAACATGGCTAAAATAATAATTTCTTCCTCCTGAACTACTCATTTTCAATACTTCTATGTTGCACGCTCTAGTAGTTGAGCCTTGACAACTGTACTTTTTTCGAAACTCTCGCTTATGTTGCTGGTCTGTGGCGGTAAAGTGTGCGATGTCATGCAGGATGCAGGTTTGTGCTGTGCTGGTCCGTACTGGTCCGTGTAGGTATAGTGTGCGCGATCTTTCAATGTAAATTATTTGTGCAATAAAAGTTACACGCTGTTTTTAAACAGCATACACACTCGTTCTATACCTATATCGCTCTGTTATTAAATTAATAATTACCAACGTTATCGTTGATATTATTATACAATTATTACAATAATCTGTAAAATTATCATAACAATTATTACTTAATTGAAGGAATATCACATTTTTATGCATATTGAAGTAACACATGTTTATATAACGTGTTTATTGATAAGAGTGCCTTTTTATTTCTAGAAAAGAATATTGCAATCCATTTTGAGGTCCCAGTCCAAAGTTGATTATCATGTTTTATATCCCAAAATTTTATTAAAATTCAGGAATATATATTTCAAAGATCGTAAAATAATTTGCGATCCCATTTTAGGAATTGCCCGGGTATAAAATACCCCCGGGTAATCATCTACCCTTGTCTAATAAAACTAGGCATAAAACCCGGGTTTATATCACGCAAAAGAAAATAGTAGGATCAGTTACTACTGAAATATTCTTATTAGCCAAGGTAGCTATTACCATAAACCCGATTTTATGTCGAATTGTAGATTCCCACTCAGATTTTTTTTGCCCCATCATGCCCTTTGGAGGAACCGTAAAAATTTATCCTTAATATAATTTTCAGTATGTTCCTGTCATTTAGAGTAAATGAGAACTGTCATTTTAAATATAATGCAGCTTATTACAAAGATATTTTTGGTTTATTCGGATTTTTTATTGACTAATATATCTAATTGGAGATATTCGCTTTTGAAGGAGACAGCAATCGATTTACAGCAATTTTAGCATTGATTTTGGGTCCTCATCAACATACTTATATGTCACTGTCACTGAAAAGTCGTATTATTATTGTTTATTAAGTTCTAAACTATTAGTACGGAAGCATTGTGTGTCCCGTGGGAAAGTTAGTGAAGGGAAGGTACTAGTGGTACTAATCGATAGATAAAAACATGTAGTCCAATAATGTCGATGGTGACACTTTCAAAGATGTTGCGTGTGACTATGATGACGTCATCCAAGATGACCGTCGCTTTATTATGAACCAAGTGGCATATCTCCCTGCTGAACCGATTCCAATTTATCTTATTTTGAGCCTTCAAGACAGATAGACTTCATAATGGATCAGTCAGTCTTTGGGCACCTATAAAATAAACAAACTTAAACTATGTTCTACCAACAGGAAACAAATAAAAAGTGAAAATTGCTGGATCCCTTACAGAGTTAAATGCAGACCGTTCTCTTTTTACTTGACTTCTCATTGTCGCACGATCTCAACGTAAAATAGACCTACGCACAACCTTAGGAAAGTAAGAAATGTCAGCTGTGCCCAGATCCATGTTTGCATTAGACGGAACAATGCATCAGTGCCCAGCTAAAAGTAAATTAATTCAAATCTGTAGTGGAATCCACTGCCAAAGATTCTTTGTCATCTGCTCAAGCTCACCAATCAAATAACTGCATTGCAGTTGTAGATGCAATGGGAGAATTGCAGGCTCTTGATAAAACTAGCGCAGTGAAAACTTGTAAAGATCTTGCAGATTTGTTCGCCCAAAAGATCCAAAGGAAATACTGGCAATATGACGAATTTCATGTTATTTTCGACACGTACTTGGACGAATCAATAAAAAAACCTTACTAGGGATAAGAAGCTTCATGACGGTGTCGCAACACAGTATAAAATATTTGACACAACTGACATATCAACTATAAATTTGTAAAAGTTGTTGTCACATACTTGTACCAAGGATGTAGGTGGTTAATTCACCTATCTTGCACATACAATTCAAGTCATGCCAAGATATAAGCAAACAAATATGTTGTTTCATGGCGCACTGAAGTTTCTGCGACGAAGTTTCTGACTGCTCTTTGGATTGTTTAAAGAGTACTCAAGAAGAAGCCGACACAAAAATTATACTTCATGCTATTAATGCGAAAGTTAGAGGTGCAGATACACTACTGGTATTTGCTAATGATACAGATATTTCAGTTTTGCTAGTGAGGCGCTATGCAAGGCTTTCCGAAAACACCTTTTTTGTACAATGGTTTCATGCAATATCAGGTTGTGACACCACCGGAAGTTTGTTTGGAAAAGGAAAGTTGTCATACTGGAAGGCATTTGTTTCAGCGAGTGAAGAAGAACTTACTGCTTTGCAGAAACTTGGTAACTGTGATTTAGTACATGATGATGTTTATAAAGCAAGCACTCTAACAAAATCACTTGCAGAATTACGATGGTCAATGGAGTCCTTGGAGATAAGTTACTCCCTACTAGAGGTTCCCTTGTACCCGCAATTAAGAGAGCTAACCTCATCATCAAAGTCATCCTTAATCCAGTTGGACACGGCTGGTATTTGGAAGAGGGAGTGTTTACCCCTGTTTTGTGTGAAGAACCATGTGCTCCAGAGTCTCTTCTTTAACTAATTAGATGTCCGTGTCTTAAAAATCGATGTTCACTACCATGTAAATGTTTAGCAAACAATATGCCTTATGCATAGAAATGTGTAGTTGTAATGCGGACCAATCAACTTGTGATAATTTGCATCCGCCTGATTTTGCCGGGGAAAATAGTGATGAATTTGATAGTGATGATGCCGATTTGTAATTTTATTAATATATATGTGCAAATGTATCACTTAATTTTTTTTTAAATACATGAACTCATATAACGTAGACCATATTTTTACCAAAATAAAATAACACAATATTTTTCTATTTTTTTTTTCACTTTAAATCCAACGAGCAACCAAAATATTATTTTTTCGCAATACTTTCAAGAATTAATTGTTTTTCTCTTTACATTTACCTTTCTAACAAACTAAAAAAAATGAAATCGGTTAAATAGCGGCGACGATAGCGCACATTGTCTATATTGCTATGGCGGTCATTTTGTTTAACGCACTCCAAACAAACGCAACATCTGTGACGGTGTCACCATAAAATTTAATGGAATACATACTTTTTCTGATAAAACAACTCCACTGGCACCTTCCCTCCATGAAGTCTCCCACGGGAAGCTATTTTTATACGTTGTGCTCCCCAACTATATCGGCTATTGCTACTTTAATTGACTATGGTAGAGGTCAACTTTTGGACTTAAAACCATATCAGCTAGACTGCCTAACAGACAACAATAATACGATTTTTCAAAGACAGTAACATTACATAAATCATAAACACTATTTGATAGTCTGTTGACTAGGACCAAAACCAAAGGCATGGTTTAATGTAAAAAATACGAAAAAATATTAGTGTCTTTTTCAAAAACGAATATCTCCAAAAAAAATTAAAGCTATTGAGATGAATCAAACAACAAACTGTCGAGAAAAGGTACATCTAGATGATAAAGTTATTTTTAAATTCCTTGCTTTGTTAACGTACCCCACAGGGTGTTTCAAATTTTCACCAAAATATCAAAAAATTTTCCATCGTATAATTGACAGATGGCAACTTTCATTTTTAATTTAGAAAGAGATACTAAAAATTCAAATAATTTAGCGACTGATTGCATAAAAAATCATCAAAATCCGTCCTCTAGAACACAATATACGAGACAATATAAAAAACATGAAAATTTTAAGGTGCCCGTTTTTCGTGCCGATTAGTGTATTTTCTTCAAAAGTGAATATCCCCAACAAAAGAAAAAAACATTGAGATTAATAAAACTATCGAGAAAAATAAGCATCTTGAAGGCAGAGTGGTTTTTATTTTCCTTACTATGCTAAACACACAGTTTGCGAAAGTTTGAAACATTCCTCTGTGGAATGTTTCAAACTTTCACCAAAATAACAATGTTTTGTTTTTCCTGCTATAGTAGACAGACAACACATTGCCTAAAAAATCATAAAAATCGGCCCACTAAAGGTTATATTATTATATTTTCAGCTGGGGTGAAGATAACCTTACTGATATCGTTGATATTCTACATAGCAGCTTTTGCCATTGGGATATGGGGTATAAATAAATGTCCTGCAGAAGAAAATGTACCATTCTTTTTAATAGTATTAGGTAAGTTTACAATAGAATATACCATTTAGAAAATAATTCAAAGTTTACTTAAGATCATCTTACTATTGACAAACAAAATAATTAATATTTCTTTTTATTCTAGGCGGTATAGGTGTTATATCAAAAACAGCAAGTATAATCAGAGACAAGCTTCTGGAGATCCATCCTAAGGCTCAATTTGGTGAATCTGCTCTATACACCGTTGAGCTGGTCTTTATATTATTGGGTAAGGCCTCAAATAAATTATATAACTAGACAAAGAACGCTAACTGTACAAAACGAAGGTACATAAGCTATACAAACCAGAGGTCGTTGATTGACATGGTCATAAAATTATGAAAATATCAGAATTTTTAAGTATATTTCATATAGATTCGGAATATACATATACACCTTGAAAGGTTTTGGTACCTTGATTTTGTGGGAAAATTAATTTTCTGAACACTTGTTTTTGAGGTATTATTGAGGATGGTTAAAACGTCCCCTACATCCATTACTGTTCTCGTAAGACTACAATGGCCTATATTTTCTGATTCTACACCTTTTGGTTAGTAACTAACAGCAGTTTTAACAAGTTTCTGTGGTGAAAAATTTGCAAAATCATATTAGTTGATTTTTTTTCAAAAATTTGAGTACACCCCTACATTCGGCATCCCCCAAAACAGTTCTTGTACCAAATTTCGTTTAAAAATATTAATTATTAATAATTCTGCAGTTAAATTAAATAATTCCCTATTTTTGCTAATTTAACGATGAGTTATCACGTAACCCTTGAAAAAACAATCCACAACAATGGGTTTTATTAGCTGTCAATTTTGCAGCGTAGAATTGAATATTAATTTAATAGCACGCAGAAAAGTGTTGTATCAAGAAATATTATTTTGCATTATGGAACAATTAAATATTAGGGATAAAATTGAAATCATTCGTTTAGTGGGTGATAACCATCTTCAAGCAGGAGAAGCTGCCAGAGAATTTAACAACAGACATCCGGACAGACCTGCAGTAAGTAGAAGCACGGTTCAACGAATAAATAGAGTTTTTTAATGAAACTGGTTTGTGTGTCAAAATACTTACTAAAAAACAGAAGGCCGGAACATCGAATAAATGGCGGAATGAGGAAATATTAGAATATTTTCGTAACAATCCTCGTGCAAGCATTAGAGGCGCCAGTGTTGATTTGGATATACCAAGGGAAAATATTAGAGATGTTTATGAACTAATAAAGTTAAACCCTTTAAAACCAAAGATTTTACACACTTTGGAAAACGGAGATGATGTTAGACGATTAGAATTCTGCTTAGGGGCTCAAGCAAAGTATTTAAATAATAGAAATTTCTTAAAAGAAATTTTATTTAGTGATGAGGCAACATTTAGTACAAACGGAGTAGTATCCTCTCAAAATTCGCGATTCTGGGCAGTCGAAAACCCTGAATGGGTGATCAATACAAGAAGACAGTATTCTCAGAAATTAAATGTGTGGTGTGGCATACTTGATGATAGAATCCATATTGGTCCATATTTTTTTGAGAGAAATTTGAATAGTCCAACGTTTTTGAATTTTCTGATTAATGACTTTTGGGATGCAATACATAATTTACCATGCCAAACCCGTTTGAATTTAAAATTTCAATTGGACGGATCACCTGTGCATAACGCGGCAGTTGTCAGGGGAATGGTTAAATGAAAATTTTGAAAATAAGTGGATAGGTCGAAATAGCCCGCTAATTGAGTGGCCACCGAGATCCCCTGGACCTAACACCCTTGATTTCTTTCTTTGGGGTTTCTCAAAGCAACAAGTTTACAAGTCTAGACCTCAATCTGTAGATGAATTACGTATTAGGAATTCATACAGAGGCTTCTGCAAATATTACACCACAGCAGCTTAGGAATGTAACTGTTAATCTAAGAAAAAAGATGCGACAAATGTATTGAACTGAATGGAGGGCTGGTAGAAGCAACTAGAATTATTTGAATATGTTTAACTTATTATTCGGTTATTGTGTTGCTTGTAGTATTTTTATCATTGTTTGTAATAAAACTCGTTGTCGTGGATTGTTTTTTTTTCAAGGGTTACTTGATAACTCATCGTTAAATTGGCAAAAATAGGGAATTATTTAATTTAACTGCAGAATTATTAATAATTAATATTTTAAAACGAAATTTGGTATAGAACTGTTTTGGGGGATGCCGAATAGGGGTGTACTCAAATTTTTTTGAAAAAATCGCTAATATGATTTTGCAAATTTTTCACCGCAAAAACTTTATTAAGTAGGCCTTGTTTTTTGTGAAATAACATGACATTGAGCCCTAAAGTATATTTTTTGAAACTTTATATTTGAAAAAAAAAATCATCAAAATCGGACTATAAACACAGATTTTATGGAGGGTGCCCGGTCTTGAGTGGGTCACACTTATATGTATGGAAGAAAGTCGAAAAATTGCCAATTTTTGGCCTTTTTTAACTGTTTTCAAAGCTCTTACGTTCCCTACATGCATTACTGTTTTTTTGTTCTTGTAAGACTACAATGGCCTATATTTTCTGATTCTACACCTTTTAATTAGTAAATACCAGTAGTTTAAACCAAGTCAGTAACAAAAACAGCCAAAAAAATCGTCAGCGAATATTTCTACTAATTGTGATTTTACTTTCAGGATCTTTCTGGGTTTTCAAAATCTACCCTCCTAACTACGACCAACCATTATCTCACAATTACTGCAACAAAACAGTGTACATCATAGCCTTCAGCTACTTGGTAGCCTTGTATTCAGTGATTCTCTTCACCATAATAGGATTCGCCTGCTTTCTGGGATGCATGTTCTTCGTGGCATCGACAAGCAGGCAAGTTGACGAAGAATCCCAAACTGAACCAATGAGATCATAGCTCTCTGTACTATACCGAAAATATATCTGTAAATATAGCGCATATCGTATTCCCTGTTTTACCTCATCTCAACTATAATTATATTATATTAATTACTTATCATTTTTAATAAAGGAGTTTTTTTACATATTACTCTACTAGTTTTTCATATTATCAAGCCTCAAAGATATGGAAAATAATACACAGTAATAATTGATATACACTACAGGGATTGAGGCTTCCGAAAAAGCTCTATATTAGGTTTTTGGTTAGTGAATTTTCAAACATATTTTAAAACCAAAGCTGTATATTTTTAAATGGAATACTATACAGGGTGCTACAAATTCGAGGTACCAGCATTGGTTTGTTCAACCTTGTGGCAAGTGAAAAAATGCGATAACATCTAGAAATAATAAGAAAAAACAGCAAATTGCTCGAAGGAATTTATCTTTATTATTTACACCGATAAATTTTTAAATAAACTTTTCAAATTTCAATCCTTCATATTTTCTCAACGACTCGACCGATTTTCAAAAACGAAGCGGGAAAGTATAGATAATAGAAAGCCCTTTTCATTGCGGTACTACTTGACACCCCTTCCCGTTTGAAAAAAATTGGGGGATGACACCCCCGCTCAGAGGGTTGAAGATTTTGCAATCATTTTTGGGGCAAACGTTGTCCCCCTCACAAACAAAATTGACGTGTTTTTGGATTTTTTGAAAAAAAAAATACTCTGGCCGTTATGCGTTGCGGAACGTTTTCGATGGGCCACCCCGTATCTCTGAAACTATCGAAATACCTTTACTCATATCTTAGGATTATATAAAGGTATCTGAAAGGAAGCCAAAATTCAATAATATACAGGGCGTTCCATTAAAAAAATCATCCCGATCCCACTCACATTTTTTTGAGCCATCTTGTAGCAGTTAAATCTTTATTTTCCTGAAAAACATCCTAGTATAGTGTGACCAACGGATCTGTAGCTACGGGGTATCGGCAGGGGAACGCAGTTGTAAACAAAACACGCCCAATTTCATTCATAAAATAGGCATGGGCGTACGGTGTTATATGAAAATAATGTGTATCATAAATATAATACTCAGATTAATAATTTTTTCAAAAAACTTTATACTGTTTGAATCGTTACTGTTGAGTTAGCAGATAAAACACTAAAAGCTTTTATTAAAGCTCCCTTTAAATATTTTGAATCATTTTATTATTGTGTTGTTAATATAATAGAAGAAATAATTACAGCTGGGGTTGGAACCTTTGGTGTTACACAGCAAAATAGAACACTAAATCAGTACAATACACCAAAACACTTTTAATTTTACAATGGACGCATCGTTTCGCTAACCATGTCTGCTTATCAGCAGATGATCAAGACTGAATCTTTGAGGTATATTTATTTATATATCTATACTAACTATATTTTTTTTTTTCTATAATACATAATTTTAGATATAACTATTTCCAGCAAAAAAAAATCTTGAAAATAGTTAACTTTGGAAGCGCAAACAAAACATAATTTTACTCTCACCAGTAGATCCAATATTGCCTATTACACCAGATATGGTATCGCTCCGCCAGCAATTTTTAAAGGTTAGGTCATTGCTCTACCCATATGTTTTCATCCAAATAGATAATACTTGGCTATATTTTCGAATTTCGCCTATATATTTATATCTCTCTGCAATATAATGGGCCGCTCCATTAATATTTATCTGTTATTTTGACATTTACGCCAAAAAAAATTCATTTGATTTTAATAACCCCCTAAGCGTTTCCCTGCAAAAGGAAAATTTGATTCTTCCTGCAATTTTTGCAAAGGCTTTCTAATTGTGGGGACGAGTTTGAATTCGAGATAAAATCTATTTATCACATTCCTGACCACTTCGAAAAAGTCGTCGAGCTTTTCAACAGCAGTCTCACGTGGTCGTTTCTTTCCAGAGCTGGATATCATTTTATCGGGGTTAGTTTTCAGCCTTTTTTTATCTTCTGTGTGAATTTTTTTATAGCCGATACGCTAACTCCGGTATAAAGAAATATCCGCTCAAGTTTACGTTTAAGCGGCAACTTAAGCGAACTCTCTGTAGCTTCTTCATCGCAAACCCTATTATGTACACAAGGAAATAAACCAAATGAGATTTCATCCACGTTATTATTAACTTATCTATATAAATTAGCTATTATTTCTCTTGTCTGACTATGTAGCGTCTTACCCTTAACAAATTTATTCGTTTTAAAACACAAATATACGATCCAAGCTTGATATTAATGAACTAAAACTACGAACGAAAAACATTATAACAAGATAACAAAACAATAAAATACAACTTAACTATCAAATATACGAAAAATATAGGAATAAAGTTTAGGATAACCGGTATAAAATAATGAAATAAAGTAATAATGATCAAAAAAATGACACCGCCACTGGATATTTCAATAGTATTCAATATTCGTACTCTTTTCAGAAGAGACCGTGAAGTTGGGGATAAAGATAGCGAATAGAAAAGGCGTAAAACCCATGGCAACCGCGTGGTAACAAATCCTGTGACGTACTCTCGCCAATCATGTTCGATGAATAGGCGGCCATGCGCGGCGATGCCGGTTTGCCAATGATATCGTTGAAAAATCTTCAACTTTCATAATAAGCAGATTATACAGAATGAAAGAAATAAGTTATTAAATAAAAACATATCGAACAATATGAACTACGTTAAAATTCCTTAGTAATATACGTCAGAATATATGCTAAACACATTATATATAATAAAAATATATTAAATTTATAGTTCATGTCTGGCAATTTTGCAATTTTATAGATAAACGTGGCAATATCGATTTTTTTTTCTCGCATTCCTTCCGTAGCTTCAGATCCGCTGGTCAAACAGTAGGTACATACTTTAAGTTTGCACTTGGAAACAAAATTCCCCAGTTTTTTTTTATTCTCGGAGCTGCAGTATAATTTCATCATTTTATCCATACTCAGATATTATATTCAATTGATTAAACATAAACCCAGTTGTTTATGAAACAAAAATATCTAATATCCAGTGTTCTGGATCATTTGGTCGACATTTCTATTATAGTCCATCCATTTTCATATATAAATATCAAATAATATCCGAATATGGTTCATATAAGATGAACATCCTCACAGTTAGGTGAACACAATTCAGACCTTCAGAAAAAGAAGTCTTTGATATGATAGGTTTAAAAAAAATATAATTTTATTTAAAATTAAATATTATTTAGGTGTTACTAAAAATATCACAGATAATAAAAGGCACAAGAAGTCATTTTTACTCCGAATAGAACATTCTATTTTTTTTCAAACGTCACAAATTATTTTTAAACAATTTCAAACGTTACAAATAATACAAAAATGTTTAAAAGTAATTATATATCGAGAAACTATGGTTACGGCTCGTTGAATTTGACACTTTTTTTTCTCGTACTTTTATGCTTAGGCGTTAAAATGCCTTTCTTTTTTGTCAACGTTTTTGAATAAAAAATTATGTATTTTTATGAAAGGCATTTCTCATCAATAAAAAACAGATTGACAGGAACACAAACAGTACCATTAGAGTGTACTCGATGGTGAGTATCCAAAATGCTACTAAATACGTTGTTCTGTTACAGTATAGCCCGTTTCTTGGATCATAGTTTGGTTGGTACTCTTTATAAACAATGTAAGTTCCTAAAATAAAGAAATAAAATGTTAAGTCTGAAGATTACAAGACTGCACGATTCAAAAATATTTTTGTAAACAATTTCTTATTACAGTTGAGAGTTGAAACCTTTGGTGTTACACAGCAAAATAAAAACACTAAATCACCACAATACACGAAAACACTTTTACTTTTACACTGGACGCGCGTTTCGCTAACCATGTTAGCATCATCAGCAAATGATTATAAACTAAAATACAATCTACAAGTTGAGCGTTTATATACTCGCTCAGTGGGCACCGAGTGGGCGTGGCAAGATCTAGCCAACCGAGTCAGAAGTCAGAGCCCACCGAGCGTAACAGTTAAATTTCCGCCACTAGAGTAGTAGGAATAAAGAACTTGAAGGAATTGGACCGTTGTCTCTGTTCATACTATCTTTACATTTATTAATTCTGATGCTTTCATATCCATCTAATTGCATGTAATTTGAGACTTGTTTAATTAATTTTAAATTATTAAGATCTACACAATGTTCTTTATCAACAGTTTCTTTATCTTTATTTGTTGATAAAGAACATTGTATAGATCTTAATAATTTAAAATTAATTAAACAAGTCTCAAATTACAGGCAATTAGATGCATATGAAAGCATCAGAATTAATAAATGTAAAGATAGTATGAACAGAGACAACGGTCCAATTCCTTCAAATTCTTTATTCCTACTACTCTGGTGGCGGAAATTTAACTGTTACGCTCGGTGGGCTCTGACTTCTGACTCGGTTGGCTAGATCTTGCCACGCCCACTCGGTGCCCACTGAGCGAGTATATAAACGCTCAACTTGTAGATTGTATTTTAGTTTATAATCGTCTGCTGATGATGCTAACATGGTTAGCGAAACGCGCGTCCAGTGTAAAAGTAAAAGTGTTTTGTTGTATTGTGGTGATTTAGTGTTTTTATTTTGCTAAACAATTTCTAATAAATAAAGATTTGTTATTTTAAAAATATACATTTCCGCCGTTTGTTTCTTGGTAAAAAGCTCTACGAGTAAAGTTTTTCAAGATATTTAGAATCAAAATAATCAATACGCGACATTATTGACCAAAATTAAACCTGTTGATTGTTGACATTTGAAATAAAAATGAACCTTCTATACCCTGTATCTCCGAAACGAAGCATTTTAGTACATACGTAAGTGCATAAGAACTTTTTTACTTATTTTTGTCTGTAGAATATATATGCTGCCGAATTTTTCCAAATACAATTCGGTTCGGACAACCCTGTATATTTATCCTTACCTAAACAATGTACGGCAACGTTAACTAAAATTAAAAACGACATAGCCCAAAAGCAATACTGATTCTGTCTGTATCTGCTGATATGTTTAGCTGCAGCTCCAAGAAATCCTATATAGAGACAAAAATCACACATTTTTCCAGATTTTTTTTTGAGTTTTTATTTATTTTTACCTGCCACTATTAGATAGATAGGAATCAGCCTGTTCACAGAACACCTGTTTAGGTTCACCCAGCCAATGGCAAACTCGGAAAAGAATATAGCGTATAAAAAAACCAATGATCCATTTAATCCAGCTACAAAAAAAATCACCTTGAAAGTTTTGAAAACATTACCTGATATGGGACTTATTTAACTCTTACAACTTTAGAAAACAACACAAAACATTGTTATATTTCCTAAAGTTATAATACACTCACTGGCTGACAAAGGCTGGGGTTGAGCCCAGGGGGGGCCTAGGGCTATTGTTTTTTTTAAATGAAAAATAATTTTAAAAAACACCATTTTTGAATAAAACGTTTACATGAATATCTCTATCAATAAATTTCATAGAATTGGTTATCAAACCGTGTTCCCGTAGATTACTTAAATACCTACAAATATTATAAAAAATAAAAATTAACACATTTTTTGAACACATCAAAATAATATTAACTAAACAGAACTAAAAAACGTCATTTTTACTGCATCACAAGCAAATACAAAATTAATACGTAGCCAAGGGTCATAATTTAGGATTTCTCTGGGGGTGCCCAGCAGTACCAGGGGGGGGGGCATCCCCGGACACCCCTGTAGTTACGCCAATATGCCAGGCATTGGCTGTCTTTGTCACATTGCTTAAATCATGATACCGCGGCCATTTTGCCACAATCAACTGTTCTAGCAAGTGATTAAAAACAATTTTGCTTTTTTACAATATTAAATAACCATTTGGATGTATTTAATGCGTTTATTCAGTTAACTGGTAAGTTAATAATAATTAATTAATAATTTCACACAAATAATTTATTCATAAATACAACTAAGATGTTAACGTATTTTTGTATTTTTAGATTTCAACTTTTGCAAAGACCCACCGATAGAACTTGCCTGGCAGCGTACCTGTTTAACTAAACGTATTATTCCCTGATAATAAATAATATCAAAACACAAGTACCTCTATAATTTAAGGTGAAAAATTATTTTGATTATGTTTTATATTATTTAAATACTTTCTAACCTCAAGTAATAGTAAGATCCTTGTTTATATCGCACGGCCCGTTGAAAACTGTATTGTTTCCAAAAAAATGTCTACAAAACAAACAATTATTACAAAAACAATGTCCTTTTAATCTGATTACTATACCTAAGAAGGATGCCAGTAAAATTTTATTAAATCAACATTATAGTATTATTTGGCCATTAATATGCAAAAGCAAAAAAGAGCATATTGTCTTAACTTAAATTTTCTTTTACTTCTCTTGTGACAATGTCCTGAATTTTGAGTTAGTAAACTTTTAAACGGGATGTGCGATATATAAAATACATAATATATCCAAGGCTACGATTTGATAAAAGTATTTTTTGATGCACGTTGGCTTGGTTTATGTTTTATTCAGCTTATATTTATTTGGTATAATAGTTTTCTTGCCTTTGGAATGGCATGCATTGAGGCTAGAGAGTGTTTCATTAGATCATAAAAAGAATTTAAATTAGCATATATTTTTTGTGATATTAGGGTGCTATCATGATACAACTATAGTTGTATCATAGTGCCTTATGCATGTTATTTATTATATACTTATGTATTATCAGTAAATAGATGATAACATACTATTAAAATGTAATTTTAATAGTATGTTTATCTTTCCAATTCACTAGTTATTTGCAAAATGTATTTTGAACTAATTTAAGTCATTAATTGATCGTCTTTCTTTTTTAGTTTCCAGGATATTCTTTTTCATTGTTAAAAAAATATACCTATATATTTCAATAGTATTGTAATATAAATCGCAGCTCTAAAAAATAAATGATATTGTTTACTAAATGTGTAATTTATTTACTAAGTATGAATTTTCTCTGAAAATAATAAGTCGTTCTTAACATAATCATTGATTTACTGTGTAAAGTTAATAGACATATTTTTTAATACTTTAAATTATATTAAAATAATAAAAAAATGTTTATTAACTTTAAACAGTAAATCAGTGATACTTATAAATTTTTTTTTTTTTAAATTTACCATCTTTTAAGCCCCGCCCTTCAATTCCCCTCAATTTAGCTAGTACTGCCAGGCTACACCAGGTGGCATCTGTTTCCATTTTTTAACATGAAGTTAGCATTCTCTGAGGTGCCCGTTTTCCGTGCCGGTGAGTGTATATTTACTTTTGTAACTAGTTTATGTGAAAAGCAAACACTTACGTGGTACCCTCTCCTTGATTTTTTCCCCTAAAAAACTGTCATTAATGTCATTGGTCGGTTCGTTTATCGCAACCGTCATCTGTCTTTCGGCATCCTGCGATGTTTCTGAACTAGAATTTCTTACTTCGTCAGAAGAAACGTCGACCATTGTGTGCGAATCTGTTTTTTGCGGTTTTTTAGCTCTAGTAGGTATTAATATAGGCAGAACTATACTGAACGAATATACGAGTTATTTATAATGTTGGACCTGGTCGAGTGTTTATTTTTAGTTAGGACTGACCCCTGGCGGAGACAGTTTCGCTATAAATACAGGGTGTTCTGAATCTAAGCCGCTTTCATGAATTAAAAATTATTAATCGGGATCTATCAAAGAATGAAATCGAATTGATATTACCATAGAAACGCGTTTTGATATTTAGGACCATTGCCTGGAAACTTATATGGTGAAATTTTGATAAAATAATTTAGTGCATACTAAAAACACGGTATGTCGCTAGTGGTAGGAAAAATAATTTTTAGAGGTTACTACTTTATTTGGTTGCCTGTGATATGCATATACAGGGTGTTTCCTAATTAATCTAAACAATAAAAAATCGTTAGAAAACGGATTAAGGCGGGCTCTTAATAAGTATATTTATTTTTTTCTCGACAACAACTGTTTGATGAACAAGAAAAACTCAAAAGATCAATTTTGTGGAAAAAGGATGGCCAATCAAGAAAAAACTATATTTTCTTTAAAAAAGCAGTGGTGTACCATTTATGTTAAGCCAAAAATCGATTTTTTTAATTTTTAACACCCTGTAGATCAGAAAGGAAGTACTTTAGACCCAATGGTTATATAAAAATTGTTTTAAGAACACATGAGGAACCACACCGCAATTTTTTTGGACTAATTAGAAAATACCCTGTATATTGTCAACTTGACAATGATTGCTGATAAATCAAAAAATACCGTTTCAGTGAAAAAAGCCCGATTTTCGCAGGAAAAATTTTGATTTTTATTGGATTTGGGCCTGCGTCTGCAAATACCGGTTTGTTTTTTAATTTTCTATCTATCTAATATTTAAATATCATAGTCAGAAATAGTTTCATTATTTATTAACTGTAAAAATGGTGTTTTCTTGTTGTGTTGCATCTTGCAAAGAAACTAACAAAACTGCAAAAATACACGTGTTTCCAAAAGACGATAAGGTATGTATCTTATATAAAAGAAAAATATAGGGTATGTATTTGTTGTTTGATTTTTTTTTTCGATCGCTTTAAAATCTATAAATCTCGGTCTATTCATTAGACAGCCAGTCGACTTACGATCATTTACATGAAACTCTGTAAAATAAATAAAAAAATAAACTGTAAAATGTATATATTCTTATGTTTTATTAAAGTTACTTTGATATACTAATATATATTAGTGTAACTTTTACTATTAAGTTTCATATCTATCTTAATAGTAGATTATTTTCTTTTATCTATGTTTAGGACTTGGAAAATAAAAAAAAACTTAATAATAATAATAAAATTAATAATAACCATCTATCAAAGAATGAAATTGAAATTGTATTATCATAGAAACGCCTTTTGATTTTAGGACTAGGAGGAAAAAATTCAACCATATTTTCATGTTTTTTTTAATTTTATCTAAAACGGTATGGAAATTTGGAAAAGTATAAACGGGATTATCCATTTTAGAACAAGGAAAACTTTTTATGAAGAACACATTTTTCTCAAAATATCAATAATAAAAAAGTTATTCTTGTAAAGGCAATCCGGGGACATACTGTTGAGTAAAAATTATTTTTAAATTATGTACTTTAAAAATAGAGAAAAATATTTTTTTTGGAAATAGATTTGTGGATCTGGAAACGTTCTATCCTTTTCTAATCTATACAGGTTAGTCTGTGTCTATACTAATATATAAAATTAGTAGTGGGAACTATCGAATGAATACTATAGAAACATTCGATAGTTGCAATTCATTCGAATAATTCGATAGTTAGTAAGAAAACATTCGTTGAAAACTATTCGAATAAAAATTATCGAATAGATCCGTCATCTGCCTTGAAATATTGAATTCTAGTAATTCGGCAGCAAAAACCATTCATTTATAAAATTCATTCATTTATGAAATTCATTTATTCGTCAGGATCGATTATAATAAAATATTAACTGAATTTTAGTTGTCGCCCGGCGACGTAGGTTTCTTAGAGGGTTAGTAGGTTCCGAGAAACCCGACAGCTATGAAAGAAGCCGGCATCTTTGATTTTTTGCGGAGTCAGATATAGATAAGGACACATTATTTTTTTTTATTGAGGTGCTAGTATTTACACAGAAAATACATTATAAAGGGCGCTGTTGCCATATTTTGGTATTAGTTGATATTAGCAACGAATATTATTGTTTGGCTTTAGTTAGTTAGGGAGTATGTCTATATATTCTGCTTTTTTTTTATTAATATTCTGTTGTTACACTGCAATAATACTTGTTATTTTGGATGTAGGAAAATGATTTTTAATGTTTTTAAGCAAAGACTGGTTTAATAAATAATAATAACAGTAATAATTTGTTATACCTATTAACAACAAAATTTAAAATCATTTAATATAAATATTTTTTTTAAGTAGTAGCAAAATATAAACAACAAATTAGATGTCAAAATTATTTATATTAGATCCTATTTAAAAATAATATAGTCTCTAAATTTTTTGTGTGTGGCAACGTTGGTTTATTAAATAATAATAATTACAGAACTAATTTGTTATATTAACAACAAATTTTAAATCATGAAATATAAACATTTATTAATTTTCTAAGCATGCAGTGTAATGGAAGGAAAATATAAATAAAAAATTAGAAATCAAAATTATTTATATTAGGTGCTTTATATTACTATTTAAAAATTATATTTACTTTTACTGGCATTTACTTTAAAAAATAAATGAAATATTTCTTCGCAAAAAACTACATGTAAGAGAATTAGCATAAACAAAATACAAACATCGTTAACTTTTTTTTAAATTGGCATGTGCAAAACTTTCATTTTAATTTTCTCACCCCATAGTTTGAGTTCGATAACCCCATTTACTTAACCACATTACTTAAATATGATTATTAAGTTCAACTAATTCATATTATTAAAACATCTAAAATACAAATATGTATTTTTTAAAATTAATTGTAAGTTCATCTCATCTCTCTTAAAAATTGCTACTTCTCAAAATTTCCCATTAAAAAATAGACCATAGACCATATACCATATAAAATTAAATAATTGAAAGATCGGGCTACGGAAAACCACACAAATTTTCGGAAAAATTTTGACCACCTGCACATGCACACAATCGTCAATAAATAAAATTAAAAAATAACTACTATTTTAGTATTTTAACTATTTTAATAAACGCAAAAATAGCACAGTATTTATACGGCGAAGTTATAAAAATTTGGAAGAACTAATAATGCACCGACGCATACAAAAATCAAACGAATACTAAATTTCATTTATCAAAAGCATTCGATAGGTAGTCGTGGCTCAACGATAACCATTTAGTTGCACGGCGATGTTGTCACATATGCTTTGAATGAATGAATGATTTTATTCGAATAAAACCATTCGATAGTTGAAATCATTCATTCATTAACCATTCGATAGTCTAATTCATTCGATAGTTCCCATCGCTATAATAAAATCCTTAAGTGATTGACATACTGATTAATCACGCTCCTGCTCAAACCACTCAATGTAAGAAGCTCAATTTTGGCATACAGGTTGATTCTAGGGTGTAGAGGTTCAATAAGAAGGGATTTTTCGAAATTACAGTTCCAAGAGGGTGAAACCACCCCTGAAACATTAAAATATTTTTTATTTAAAAAACGGTCAAGTTTCCGAAAGAACGCTTAAACACGTATATTTTATTTTGTTTTTTTACATATTTTAAGATTTTTTAAAAAAGTATACAGGGTGTTTCGAAAAATCTGGTCATTGATTAATCACGATCCTGCTTAAAGCGCTTGACGTAAAAAGCTGATTTTTGGAAAACAGATCGACTTTAGGGTGTAAAGGTTCGATAAGAAGGGATTTTTCGAAACTCGAATTCTAAGGGGGTGAAACTATCCCTCAATTATTAAAATATTTTTTATTTAAAAACCGCTGTGTTTAACCGGAAAAACTATTAAACACGTATATTTTATTTTGTTGTTTTACATATTTTAATTTTTTTTTATAAATTTTTACAGGGTGTTTCATAAAATATGACCATTGAGTGTTCACTATTCTGCTTCTTTCGGGAAACGCTTGGACAAGCATAATTTATTTGTTTTTTTACATATTTTGAAATTTTTTAAAAAATCATACAGGGTGTTCCAAAAAGTTCAGTAATTTCTTAACCACGATTCTGCTTAAACTGCTTGACGTAAAAAGCTTTTTTTTTGACAAACGGACTTTTCGAAAGTCAAATTCCAACGAGATGAAACTACCCCTCAAATATTACCAAGTTATATAATAATATCGCCATATTGTTTTTTCTCATGCTGACATAAATGTGAGAAAATTTAATCCAGTTTGTATGTTAATGGAAATTCTTGCTGTGCTTTATCATTGCCATTACAAATGATTAATTCGACGCGAACGTAAGTTTTATGTCAATTTTAGAAAATGATGAATCTCAGTCTTCAGACTACTGAAATATAATAATAAGAAATCGTAACTTTTGTTGACAGAGTATCTACAGACATTGTCATATTAAACAAAAGAAAAAATAAAATACTTTTATTACAAAAACGTATTCAAGTAATACGTTTAGCAATTTATATTACAAAGCCCTCTGATATTACATTTTTTTACCTAAAATCCCACTTTATCGCTGTTTTGTATCTTCAAATAGTCAGTCAAAAAAATATATTAATATTCTGTGAAGACAAAGCCACATAAGCTTATTTTACGATATAAAAAAAATACTTGCAGAATTTTAGTATTTCCAAGAAAAAAGTTTGTAATACATTTGTGACAAATGAAAAAAAAAGTCTATTTATTTTGAATTTCTAACTTGAAGAGGAAATTCAATCCAGGCGAATGAAACTTGGACCGACCGACGCCTATTGGTCGTACGTGCTGGAAATTTCCTGGATACGGTAAAGGGTCGAGTCCATTATCCAGGCCGTTGGTTTTTTAGGGAAGGGTTGCTTCTTCGGAGCCGAAAAAGAGCCCCTTAAGTGTCGAATAAAGTGAAAATAATGCCCAATAAATTTTGTTTTGTATAGGTA